CACGGCGCGGACAACGGGAAGACCGGCGCGGCGTCTGCTAATGGGGACACTGGTGAAAGAATTACTCACAGAGATGGTAATAGTTGAAAAATATTTATTCAAGTTTTTAGGTGAAGAGGGCGATGTATTTTTATGATTTTATTAATTTCAGAGAATTTTTAAACTAGTGGGGTATGGCATTGTGCCTTAAGGCAAATTGCTAGAACTTTCTGTACCTAAATTAAATATTCAAGAAAAAAAATCAATAAATATTGATCACTGATTAATAACAATTGTTTTAAATAGATAATTATAAATACTATATATTTTATCGTTCATATATTATACAGCAACGATCTTATCGCTCAAAACACTTAGAAATGTTTACATTAACAAGAGATGCCGAACAAATCCATCTGAGGATATTTTTCTCACGATTAGAATAACGCATATGAAATGTATACATTTTTAAACTAAATTATAGATTTAAAATTTATATATGAAGAATAAAACGTTGTATATTTCTGAAAATTTTGAAAAAAAAATGTTCTGAAAATTTTACAATTTGTTTGAACTGTGAACTTTATAAATTAAAAATCTTGGTACGTAACCCAACAAAATTGTGAAAAAAATAAAAATTAATATTTAAAAACTTTATCAAGTATCTAATAATTTATATGCATATATCTAATGATCATTTTAGACCGCCAAATATCATTTATTTTTACATTTTTCTCTGTATCTCCGAAACTAGACTCTCCCAAAAATGTATTCAGTTTTTCATTTCGACAATACAAGTAAGATGTTTTTTGAATCTTTTAAATCAGATGCGTCGTTCGGATTCTTTCAACAACTTAAGGATAAGAAAAGAATACTAAATAATAGATAGAACATATATTTGCATAGTACATACTAATTATTGTTCGGTTAGTTTCACAATTCCTGAATATCATATCTAGAGATTTATGTGCATTCGCAAACATTTAAGAAGTATGATCGGTAAAAGTTAGGCTAATGTTTAAATGAACTAGTAAATAAAATGTTTTGCTTCAGATATATCAAGCGTAATCAAAATATATCCAAACAATTTATTTTTCTATAAGGTATAAATTTATAACAAACTCACCAGAATTCCTATGAGTCATGTTGTGACTGCGCCAGTAAACTTCACAATTGTGTCAATTTTAACTTAAGATCACCTGCAACATATAAGAAATTCGTAAGTATAAGGACAATTAATTTACTGTTTGTTATTAACTTCATATATACCATTAATAAAAATGTTAAATAATAGAGAGACAAAAATGGGTATTTGAGATAATAATGGAAAAACTGTTCAAAAATATTAATTGCTTCCTATTTTTACAAGTATAATATATTTGAATAAAATACCGAAAACTTAATAGAAATTATGAAGCAAAATTCGTACAAAGCAAAAAAAAAACATTTGAAGAATTATATGATGGTTAGTAAAAAAATTATTAGTTTAAAACCGTAAAATGAATGATATAGTTGAAGTAAAAAACTAATACGAGGATAATTAATTATAATCAAATTATTTATCTTCATAAAGTTAAAACCATTCAATTTCAATATTTTAAAGACTACTACTTCAATATATAAGTTGTGAGTGATTTAAAAAAACTAGAAAAAATACAAATATGTAATGAATGTTTTTAGAAATCAATATACAATTATGAAAAGGAGTCAGACAATCTAGAAAATAAATTAACTAGGTTTCTTTTTTTAAAAAAATTATAAAAATATAGTAAAACAATTTCAAACATTGACGTTGCTAGAAATAAATTATCTCAGATCTCTATCATTTTTTGCGTACAGCTCATCATAGTGTAATGGTTAAGAATGCGGGCTAGGACAAACTAATCCCGGGAACGATCATAATTTTGACCAGCTGGATATCAAGCAGAATGATATAAAATTTCCATTCGAACTTATATATGTCAAATATAACCTCAAGTAAAAATTGCTTTTAATGAGCATTGGTGTAATACATATACGTCAACATTGTTATACATACATATATAATATATATATAGTCTAGACATAAAAAGGAAGTGTTCGACCGCTGAGTTGACCTGCGAAAGAATAGATATGCAGAAAAAAAATTGAAGGTTACTTATATACATAAGTGTATTTAATTTACTCTTTTTATTTGACATCAGCTCTCCTACTAAACACCGTTCGCTCATTCGTTTCGTAAGCGGTAAACACGAATAAATTCTACCTACCTTTACTACCTACGATGCCTACTAGGTATGTCCATTTTTTCGATCAAACGGAAAAGGAAAATCGATAATAATAGAATAACATTTATATAATTAATACAAAAGATAATAATTTTATTAAGTAAAATTCAATAATTATATTTGTATAGATTCGAGAACGAAATGCATCTCATTATTCTGAAATAGGAATAAATACGAGAAGATTATACCTATGCTAGAATGTAACAAGTGTGGTATAGAATCGTGCCTTAAGGCAACTTACTGGAACTTTTCGTACAGTAATTTAAAATTTTTAAAAGCTCAGAGAAAAAATATTATACTTTTGAAAATTTAGATTTTTTTTTGAACATTTCGAAAACATTAGAAAAATTTGAATATAGAAAAAATTTCCATTTTTGAAAATGCTGATATTTTTAGAAAACTTGGAGATTTTCTGAAAACTAAATTTTTTTTTTGAAGATCTTGAAATTTCTTTGAGGTTTATATACTCATTCATATCGCTGATTCAAATTACAAAATATCTCAATTTCGACCGCCAAATGGCATTTTTTTAAACTCTTTTTGTGGATCGTTGGAACTGCTTTTGCAAAAATGTATTCAATTCTTTATTACGACAATACCAGTAGAATGCTTTCTAAATCATTTAAATCGGATGCTCCGTACTCTCAAAAATTTAATTTCTATTTTTTGTACTCTTTGCTCCGTATCTCCGAAACAGCTGGACTAACTTGTGCCAAAAACTAATCCGCACATCTCCCTGTCAGTAGAAATCGAGTCATTCAAATCGGTTTATCCGTACAACAAAAAATTGTATCCATATATACATAAACACACACACATCCATTTTTTTGAGGTATGCCAAAATGTCTAGAAACCTTCAAAACGTGAAAAAATGTGAAAATTTTTAATTTCGATTTTTGGACGATTACAATAACCTATCCTACGGTAAGTTAATTCCATAGATCTTTCTGTTTTTGTATATTGATAGAAAAATATTATAAAGATAATATATAATTGAGATATATATAGTAGACAATGACGACATACGAAAATGTTGATATGGTCATATTATACATACAATAATATTTAAATTATATTTATACAGTGTACAAAGATTTTTTATGATATAGCATATCAGACCAAAAAAATAAATCGAAATAAAAAAATATAATATAATATATTGCAATAATTTGTTAAAACGATTTGTCACCTCTATCCAAAAATCGTATAACAATTTAGAAAAATCCTACAAAATCGATTTTGTCCATCTGAGTCGATGTTCTGGACACTTTTAGTGAAAAATCGTATAATAATTTAGAAAAATCCAACAAAATCGATTTTGTCCATCTATGTCGACAATGTTCTGGACACCTTTAGTAACCACCATTCGAAATAAGCAGGCGACGTAAGGCAAGGCAACGTCAACGTAAAACGCAAGGCAACAGGCAAGGCGACCTCCGAAGAGCGTCATAACAGTAGTCCTTCTAGTGGAGGGGCGATCTGTTAGCGGTAAGACAAAATACAACGAAAGACTCAAGACTAAGCCAACTATAACTGCCAACTGCCGACTGCCATCCGTTCGTCCAAATGCGATTGCATTTACCGCCTCTTACCGTCCCGTCCCGTCAGGCGTCAGTCGCCGCTGGATTGCGGACGGTAACGGTCGACGGGCGGGAAGAGATTTTAAAAAAAATATTTTTAGAAAGTATTTTTATTGAGTCATTAAGTAGAAAGACAAGTGTTTCAGTGTTGGATTTAACAGTTGGTAAGTTGGCTTGTAGGAGGGTAATAATATGCATATTTATATGCAACTTTATACAATGTTAAATATATATTTTTTACAATGATAAATAGACTATTACACTTTTAAATAAATTTAATAAAAATATCAATTATAAATAGTTTTCAATTTTTTCTATTTGAGACACATTTTAAGAAATTATTACGTACTAATTTTCTGAATTTATATGCGATCTTTATAACATCATTATTAACTTCTAGTAGGGTGAGTTATAGTAATCGCAAAAAAATCGAAAATGAAAATTTTTATGTATCTTTACGTTTCAAAGGTTTCTGAACATTTTGGCATACCTTAGAAAAAATGGATGTATGTGTGTGTGTGTGTGTATGTGCGTGCGGATACAAATTTTCGTCGGCGATTTCGGGCGTACGGATCAACCGATTTGAATGGTTCAAAAAACATTCCATTCCAATTGATAGGGAGATGTGCTGATTATTTTTTGGCAAAGGCAGCGTCAGCCGTTACGGAGATACAGAGCAAAGAGTTCCGAAAATAGAAATAGAGATTTTACTAATTATTTGAAAATGCTATAAGAAAACTACTGAATATTTTCTCAAATTAATTTTTTATATGATTTACTTAAGAATCATTCTGGTTAATAATGAAAAATAATTTCATTCGATGGCTGCCTCGGTAAAAAAGTAAGACCAATCTTTTTCAATCTTTTCTATTTGTAGCATATCCGTTAGTAATTTTCGTGCTCATTTTTCGAACTGAAATTTTAATTTTTGGAATATTATTATTAAAAATTAAATTTGGCTAGTAAATGTATGAGTATTGGTACAAACCAAGTATTTGGGTCAACGTTTTCCTATTTTAGAAAAATGCGCTATAAAATACATATTTTTGTGTAAAAAACGTCAAAAAACAAATTTATACTGTAGGCGTCAGTCGCCGCTAGGTTGCGGACGGTAACGGTCGACGGGCGGGAAGAGATTTTAAAATATTTTTTTAGAAAGTATTTTTGTTGAGTACAGTCATTAAGTAAAAAGACTAGTGTTTCAGTGTTGGATTTAACAGTTGGTAAGTTGACATGTAGGAGGGTAATGATAAACTGTTGCTTAGTTTGCATATTTTTATGCAACTTTAGAAATATTCAGTCTGTTTTTTTAAACAAATATCAACGTTTTTAGAGAACTGAAAATAATCTTGTAGTAATTTTCCTGCTCGTTTAATGAATTTAATGTAATATTTTTAATATTGATAGAAATTGTACTGATCAATGTTTTCCAACTTTAGAAAAATGCGCTATTAAATACACATTTTATCATTTAAAAAACTAATATAAATCTGTTCTATTCAGTACATCGTTTAGCAATTTTCGTGCTCATTTTACGAACTTTTGCTTTTTTTAACTTCCCGTAGGGCAAGTTATAGTAATCGCAAAAAAATCTAAAATGAAAATTTTTTATATATCTTTACGTTTCAGAGGTTTCTGAATATTTTGGCATACCTTAGAAAAAATGAATGTATGTGTGTATGTGTGTGTGTATGTGTGTGTATGTGTGTGTGTATGTGTGTGCGGATACAAATTTTCGTCGACGATTTCGGGAACACGGATAAACCGATTTGAATAATGCAAAACACATTCGATTCGTATTGATAAGGAGACGTGCTGATTAGTTTTTGGAGAAGGCAGGGTCAGCCGTTACGGAGATATGGGGCAAAAAGTGCCAAAAACGGTACCTCAGTTTTTAAGAGAACGGAGCGTCCGATTTTAATAATTCAAAATATTTGATCAAATTTTCATGAAGGCAGGTCTAGCGGTTTCGGAGATCTAATGAAAAGAGTAAAAAAAAAATGCCATTCGGCGGTTAAAAATGATCATTAGACATATGCACATCAAATTATCAGATATTTTATAGAGATTTTAACAATAAGTATAACTTTTGTTTACATTCCTATGGGTTCCGTACCAATGTTTACCCGTTAGACAGCGACGCGGCGCTTACGCGCTTTATATTTTGTCTCTATGCATTTAAAGCAGTACGATTGCTTTGAAAAAAAGTTCAGATCTTCCAACATATGTCAAAATAAAGAAAACATTTTTTTTTCAAAAAAAAAGATTTAAAAAAAAAAAAAATTTTATTTTTTTTTCAAAAAAAAGTAATTTATTGTCCAATTTATAGTTTCTCAAAAATCTTATTTTTTCGAAGTAATTTTTTTTCAAAAATGTTAATCGTTTTTAAAAAAATAATAATTTTTGGTACGGGAAGTTCCAGCAATTTGCCTTAAGGCACGATGCCTTAATTGCCTTAAGACAGAATTCCACTTACAGCTAGTTGAAAATTAAAATTAGCTGGTAATATCGTATGGTAGTAATCATATGGAAAGTTAAGCATTGTTTTAAATCTAATGTCAATGGTTCTCAGTATTTTCTATTTGTAGCATAATTTTGGTGCTATTTTTCGAATTCTCATATAATTTTTGTACTATTATTATTGAAAATTAAAATTGACTAGTAAATATATAAGCATTAGTACAAATCAGGTGTTTGGATCAACGTTTTCGCATTTTAGAAAAATACGCTATAAAATACATATTTCTGTAAAAAAATACGTCAAAAAAGATCAATGGTTTTCAATCTTACTAGAACTTTTTGAATAGGAATTTAAGATTTTTAAAAGTTAAAAAAAAGCCTTTTTAATGTTTTCTTTATGTTTATCGACTTGAAAATTCTTTTTTTTTACATTTTGAAAAGAAATGTTCATTTTGAAAATTTCAATTTAAAAAAAAAAACATTTTTTAAAAAGAATTTTTTTGATATTTTTGTTTGTTTTTCAAATAGACTTTTTTGAAAATTTTGAAATATTTTGAAAATTTTGAAACCCATTCAAGTCGGTGTATCCATAGTATCAGAAATGTTTAGGGAATTTGGTCGACTTATATAAGTGAACTTTGAACATTATAAATTTCGGTACGGAACCCAAAAAATAAAACAAAATTTGTACTTATTTTTAAAATCTTTATAAAATATCTGAAAAGTTGATGTGCATATGTCTATTAATTATTTTCGATCGCCAAATGACATTTTTGTAAACTTTTTTCCTAGATCTCCGAAATTGCTGGACCTGCCATCCAGAAACTTAATATTTTTTTTAAACATAAGTAAAATGTTTTTTGAATCAGCAAATCGGACGCTCCTTTCTATCAAAAACTGAATTGCCTTTTATTGCACATTTTTGGCCCGGATCTACGACACGGGCGGACCTGCCTTCGCTAAAAATTAACCAGCATGTCTCCACGTCAATAAGAATCGAATGTTGTTTGAAGCATTCAAATCGGTTGATCTGTGCTCTTAAAGTCGTCAACAAAAAATTGTTTACGAACAACATATATATACACACATTTTTTCTAAGGAATACCAAAATGTTCAGAAACCCTTGAAATGCTAAGAAATATAAAAAAGTTCATTCTTGCATTTCATACTATAAATTTTCATACGGGAAGTTAAAAAATACAATTTATTTGTATTTATTGTTAGATCATAAATTTTTAAAGAAATTCATGTGTTTTTACAAAATATAGAAGGGTATAATAGGTAAATTAGAAAAATAATGGAATATATAATTAAGCAATGACATATTTTCATTTTTATACTAGACACATATTCACCCATATTTTTTATTATTTTTCAGATTCAAAAATCGCCTTCTAATGATAATGGCAGATTTTACCGCCTTGCTGATCGCCAAAGTGCGATCCAACGAACTTTTGTACGACATGGAACATCCTCAGTACAAAAATGCAAAACTTAAAGAAGCCATCTACGAGGACATTGGAAAGCAACTTAACACCACTGGTGAGTCAGCAATTTTTAAAAAAGATATTTGTTAAAAAAATGAGAGAATGGAAAAGACTCAAGTGTATGTCAATCACACCGTCGAAGATATTGACAGGTTGTGAAAATATTCGGACGTGACTTGCAATGATTCGGAGGAAGAATTTGTGCAACTATATGAGACAACTTTTTGTTTATGATTTTGTACTAATAAATTTTATCACATCATATGTCTACTACTATTGCCCAGGTGAAGACATCAAGAAAAAATGGAAAAACCTGCGCGACACTTACACGAAACATCTGCGAAGTCAAGCTGGCCATCTGGCAGCAAAGAACTACAAGAACTGGCCCTGGGCCAAACACATGGACTTCGTTAAGCCTTTCCAGAGCAGTGTCAATAATGCTGCAAATAACGCCCAAAAAGAAAAAGATGCCAAAACTATGAAATGCGAATCTATGGAATCTGCTGAAGAACATGCCGCCACTTTTGATGAATTGCAGTTACCAGAATTTGATGAGGTAGGGTAAAGGACAATTGTAATTGGATATATTTTGCGTATATTTCATACTGCTTATTTTTGTGCTAATAATTTTGTGGTAATAAACTAGTTTTTTTTATTTTCAGGAACAGTTACCTTGCTATCTTCCCAATGAGCAACCTGTAGAAGTGGAACTTCACGAAGCCAAAACTCCTTGTGGAAGTGACATACCGAATTATTTTAAAAGAAATGCAACCCACAGGTAATAGAAATTAATCAAATTTATAAATATTGAAATTGATAAATCCCAAAAAAGTTAAAAAATCCTTCCAAAATGCATACTGTAATCGTTTATAACTAGACTTTGTAAATAAGACATTTAATTCAAAATTTTGTTAGAAAACTTGTCAATATCAAAAATTCGTTTTATTATAGACACTTTAAATAATGATATAATTAAATTAAAAGACTGTAGTAGCGTCCTGAAGAGCTCTTCGAAAATGTTAAATTTCCGAAAGTCAAGTCACCCAAAATGCACACTTACATATAAGACATCCAAAGATAAAATCTTCCGTAATTCAAAATTTTGTCAGAAAACTTGTCAAAATTAAGCATGTATCTTTTAATAGACACTTTGAATATTGTTATATCTGAATTACAAGATTGTAGTACAAGCGGTACGTCCTGTAGAGCTCTTTGCAATTGATCGATTATTGTTTATTAGCACACATTACATATAAGACGTTTATAGACGAAATCTTTTTCAATGCAATATTTTGTAAAAAACTCTTCAAAATTAAAAATGTATCTCATTATAGATACTTTGAATTTTGATATATCTGAATTTCAAGGTTGTAGTACAAGCGGTGCGTCCTGTAGAGCTCTTTGAAAATGTTAAATTTCTGAGAGTCATTTCACCTAAAGAACACACTTTACATCTACTTAAGACATCTATAGATAAAATCTTTTTTAATTCAAAATTTTGTTATAAAATTTGTCGAAATTAAAAATGTATCTCAAAATACACACTTTGAATTTTGATATATCTGAATTACAAGGTTGTAGTACAAGCGGTGCGTCCTGTGGAGCTCTTTGAAAATGTTAATCTTCCTAAAGTCACACAAAAAAGACACTTTACATATAAGACATCTATAGGTAAAATCTTTGTTAGTTCAAAATTTTGTTAGAAAACTTGTCGATATTAAAATTTTATCTCATAATAGACACTTTGAATTTTGATATATCTGAATTTCAAGTTTGTAGTACAAACGGTGTGCCCTGTAGAGCTCTTTGAAATTGTTAAATTTTCGAGAGTCATTTCACCCATAAACCACACTTCATATATAAGACATCTTTATATAAAATCTTTTTTAATTCAAAATTTTGTTAGAAAACTCGTCGAAATTAAAAATGCATCTGATAATAGACACTTTGAATAATGTTATATCTGAATTTCAAATTTGTAGTATATGCAGTGCGTTCTGTAGAGCTTTTTGAAAATGCTAAATTTCCGAGGTAATTTCACCCATAAACCACTCTTTACATTTAAGACATCTATAGATAAAATCTATTTTATTTCAAAATTTTGTTAGTAAACTTGTCGAAATTAAAATATTATCTCATAATAGACATTTTGAATTTTGATATATCTGAATTGCAAGATTGTAGTACAAGCGGTGCGTCCTGTAGAGCTCTTTGAAAATGCTAAATTTTCGAGAGTCATTGCACCCGCAAACCACACTGTGAATATAAGACATCTATAGATAAAATCTTTTTATATTTCAAAATTTTGTTAGAAAACTTGTCAAAATTAAAAATGTATCTCATAATAGACACTTCGAATTTTGATATATATAAATTTCAAGATTGTAGTACAAACGGTGCGTCCTGTAGAGCTCCTTGAAACCACTAATCTTCTAATAAATTATCCATTATTATTTTTTATTCCCTAGGTGTATAGAAAATTTAGATGGCACCGAACACATTTTTCTCGGTTATGCAAAATTGTTGAAAAATTTTTCGGCCAGAAGACAAGCTACTGTGAAGATGAAAATCGCAAAATTGATGTTAGATGAAGAATTAGCTCATTTAGATGAACTTGCAGCATCTTCAGATAGATTTAAAGATGACATTTATCAAATGAAAATTAATCATAATAATAGCTGATGGGAAAATGATACAGAACGAAATCTGATGAAATTAAAAAACAAAATTTTATTTGGTTCAGTAAAAAATCGACTTAATTTTTTTTCTGTAATTTTAACAATTTTATTTATAAATAAATTGTTCGAAGTAAACACTAGGTTTTACACAATAATTTTATTTTTACTTTTTTATGAAATGTCCTCAAAATATTGTTTTAATAAGCATTATTAAAATAGTAGCATTATTATGAATTTAAAATCGAAATATGTATATATCCTAAAATAATTAATCAATATTTTTGAAAATTATTAGAAGACTTACAATTTTTTATTACAACATTCCTGAATATTAAATATTTATTTTAATGTTCACAAATATTTTTATACAATTATGAAATTAGTATATAAGTTTGTAATGTAAGTTACCAAATTAATTTTGTAAATAAATTTTATATTTTATAATATAAAAAGTGTTTAATTTTTTGATGTCCCTAAAATATATTTATTTTTCAGAAAATTCGATTTTGCACTTTTTATCTCAATGTTAAAATTTATTCTGAATAGTTTGAAACCGAAATTGGAAAAAATATTTGAAACATTTTTTTAAAGTAAAACTAAAATGCAACGGAAATAACGTTATCCCACAAATACTGATTCGTCATTGGCCATCAATGTGTGATGTGATTGGTCAAAAACCTTTTGTTATTTTTTGTTGAAGTTTTCTCATAAACGGCTGAACCGATCGCCTAAATCGTTTTTTTAGAATGAGCAGAAAAGTGCAGAATTTTACATACACGTTTTAGCAAAAAACCCTGAACCAATATTTTAAAGTCAAAAACTGTGAGGAAGATACTAATTAATAGTACATTGACAATTCCCTACTACAATTAGAAGAAGTTGTTTCCAAACAAATTAATGAGAAAATGGATTTTTTTACATCAATTGGCTAGTGTAAAATTTGCATTCAAACTGCCGCAAAAATTACTTTGGAGAAGAAAAGTGCTCCAGTAACCATTTTAAATAGTAATATCTACAAATTTATATTGTCGACTGTTTTATATAAGAATAACATATTTTCAAGAAAAATATCTGGATTAAAAAAGTTGTAAAATGTTTGTAAATACTTAATTCTTTAATCTTAAAATTTGTTATAATAACAGATATGAAATATTTTACATGGTACAACTTCTATTATTAAAAGACATGACACATAATATTTTATTATAAAACTTTTATGTGGCTTTATATTTGTCCAAATCAATTTCATTAAAAAGGCACAAATAATTTTTATTAATTTATACCATATTATTACATACATTGTTCATAAACGCTGATGTGAAATTTTATATAAATTATATTGTAAAATATAATTATATTGTAATAATTTATATTGTAAAATATAATTATAATTGTAAAATATTTTTTTATTTAACCAATAATTAATTAGATTATTTGACTGAGCAAGAAACACATTTTTCTCATGTTATCTTAAAAAATATATAATTTTCACACTAAATGTAAAACCTATTTTTTTATAATAAGCTCAGTAAAATTACAAATTATTATCCAAGAACCTCCAAACAAAAATCCGCATAGAATGTGTAAAAAAGACACATTTATGGTCAACTGCAAACTGCACAAAACAAGGCACTGAGACTAGCACTTGACCAATATAATATAAATAATATTACAAATGTGTCAAAAAAGTCGAACTTACAGAGAATACAGACTATACAGAACAAAGCACTAAGACTGGCACTTGACCGATTTACAAGAGAAATAAAACCATTATGTCATTAGGGCAGCAAAATTACAATTTAATATCGAAGAACCTCCAAACAAAAAACCCCATAGAATATGTCAAAAAAGATAAACTTACGGAGACTACAGACTATACAGAACAAGGCACTGAAACTAGCACTTCAATTTACAAGAGAAATAAACCAATTTTCCTCATAAGGACAGTAAATTTACAAATTATTATCCAAGGTTCTCCAAACAAAAAACCTATAGAATGTGTCCAAAAAGGCGAACTTACGGAGGCTACAGACTACACAGAACAAAGTATTGAGACAAGCACTTGACCAATTTACAAGAGAAATAAACCCTTTATTATCCAAGATCCTCCAAACAAAAATCCACATAGAATGTATCAAAAAAGGCGAACTTACGGAGACTACAGACTATACAGAACAAGGTACTAAGACTAGCACTTGACCAATTTAAAAGAGAAAAAAATTTGGTATGTCAAACACGCCATGGAAACCTATATCCTGATTAATCCATATCGAAATTTGAAACACTATTATTAAAAAAAATTTATTGTAATTTATTTTGAGAGAAAATCAAATATTTTCTAATAGAAAATTATTGTTACATAATAGATAGAAATTATTGTTACATAAATATAATATACTGTTTTTCTATGTTAAATATAATTAAAAGCTAAAAAATATGTAATGTAAATGTATAATTTCCAAGAATAGATAACTCATGTACTAATAAACTTTTAAGTAGTTTTTTTTTTCAAAAATCCGCGTAATCAATAGCAATGTTTTACTATACGATTTAAAACAATACATACCTGTTTTAGGACTTACAATATTTACAGAAAAAATCGCTAAATACTTTATTACACTTAATGTTATTTAATCATAATAATAATTCAATATTTCTAAAATTAACAAAATATTCCCCTCCTTTCCTTCCAGCTCTCCCACTATGTAACCACCTCATCTAATTGCAACCAAGGCCGTTTACTTTAATTCGCATTGCTAAATATATCTATAAAAGTAATTCTTACAATTAGTAATAGGGAATTGGTTCTTTTTATCGAAACGTTCAATTTTGAATTCTGTCCCTGACTATTTAAACGTTTTAAATTGTATGCAATTTGCCGTGAAATCGGTACGATAAATTCTATTCAAGGTTTGATGGAAATAGAAGAAAAAATTGGATGAAGAGAAATGAAATTGAACGAGGTAATTTAACACTTTTTTGCTACATTTTTTTTTGTATTAATTCAACACTTTAACACAAATTTTGAAGGATTTTAACCATTTTTAACATTGTAACAAAAATATTTACTAACAAATAGTTAAATTATACAATTGCAAAGCTGGTTACTACTCCAGTCAATGGAGCGTTTTGAGTCTGAATTTTTTTTTACTGTGCTCCAATCTGCATGAAATTTTGGATTTCTCATTTTATCCTCAAGTTCTATATTTTTGGAGACATTTGCAAAAAACGAAGAAAAACGCCAAATATATATGAACTTTTAGTACCCAGAAACTTGAAGAGTATTAGATTTTTTTCAAAACTTTAAGAGACATGTTATTCTTATAATTAGTTATTCTATCGATATCCGAGGTTATTTTGAAAAAATAAAATTGCACAACTGAGAAGGGGAGTCTAAATTGTTTCCACTTTTGAACTTGAGGGTAAGATGAACCTAATTCCAAAATTTCATGCAAATCGGAGCGCAGTAAAAAAATGAAAAACCATTTTTTCTTCTCTGTTTACTGCACTATACGTTTCTTCGGAAACTTTAGGTACATAACATTACATTTGCTTTAATTGTGTAAAAATTTGTTTTGTTACATATATGTTAATTTATATGAAAATAAAGCTCATAAAATTCTCTACAAATCTACAATAAGCGATTTTTAACTTTTAGAACAAAAACATCCAAAAAATACAGTATGTATATTTCTTTTCAGCAAAACGTCTGGTTTAGGAATTTCTACAATTCAACCACTTTTCATAGGCCTCTAATATTTCACTGTATCTTTTCCTCGTTCGTCTCTGTCCGTCTATGACGGCGTTCAGGCAGGCTTGGAAAGAAAGAAAAAAAAAAGAAACAAAAGAAAACTCGTGCATTTTTTTCCTTCCTGTGTCTGCTGTGTCTCTTGATATAGCTCCGACATCAAATATTGAAATTTTGAACATTAAATATATAGGAACCGAATACTGAATACTTTCTGAGCACACTCTTCTGTGTGCATGTACGTATCTTGTAGAGCAGTGGTGGCCAAAGGTAAAGAAAAATAATTTTTAAGTTACAAAATCACTCGTTACCCATTTTCCTTCAGAACCAATACATTTATTTTGTTTTGATTTTGATTTTGTTTTGGAGGAAAATTTTCCTTTCCTCCTTTTTTGTCACACTATTGTATCACACCTTTTATATTTAAAATAGTTATTATTGTAGTGATAGAACAGATATAAAGAAAGATATACCTGTGGGCAGAAATCCGAACAAAATCGGAAGTGTTATGTACTTACAAAATTGTCATACAAATTCATAATATATAATAATAGGCTTATAGTACGTGGACTGCAAGACGAGCTCAAAATAAGTGTCTAAAAAGATAGAAAGGGGCTATGATGTCACTTAGTAAACAAGCGTTGCCGACGATAGTGGAACACTCTCGATTTAATAAATGTCATATGTCATATTGTCACGTGCTTAACTGTAATGACAAAATTTATATCTGCGCGCACATACATCATTTTTGTCTAATAATAAGGTAGGCCAAAATGTTGTATATCGTGTATGTGTGTGTGCGGATACAAATTTTCGTCACGATTTCGTAAGCACAGATCAACCGATTTGAATAATTCAAACACTCGATTTTTATTGATGGTGAGACCGTTTCGGGTCCAGCCGTTTCGGAGATATGGGACAAAAAAGTGTCATAAATTCAGTTTCTTGGATAACAGAGCGTCCGAATTGAATAAATCAAAAACATTTTATTTGTATTTGTATACCCAAATAAAAGATTAAATTTATGGGAAGGCAATTCTAACGATTTTCGCGATCCAATGAAAAAAGTAATAAAAAATGTCATTTAGCGGTCAAAAAAATCATTAGACTTTATCCATATCAAGTTATTAGATATCTTATAGAAATTTTATTAATGAACAACTATGCAGCACGATTGTTTTAAAAAAAGTTCAAAATTTTCAAAAAAAAATCAAACTATAAAACAAAATAATTTTGTAAATTTTTTTTTGAAAAAT